AGGGTGCGCGATTTAATGCTCAAGGGGGGCACTGGCCCTGTTCTCAAGCAATGCAGTATCTGCTAAAGGCGTCAGCGAACAAAACTCACGCGAAGCAGACATAATGCGGGTAGACGCGGTGAGCCTGATTCGCAAAGGCGGTCTGACTCGGCTAAGACTAACCAAAGGCTTAATGAGCCTTTGATACCGCATCGGGCGCCAGTATAGTGACCCCGCTACTAACTGCAGCAGATGATCACCGCGGGTTCACGCTTAGCGAGCCACAGGGCCGCGACTCTGTCACTTACTCGCGTGTAGCGCACCGCTCCGCGAGGGCTCAACTAATAAGGCGTTTAGCGCGGCACGGCAAACAGACAGTGTTGTAATGCAAAATACACAACACTTTATTGCCTCTGGCGGCACCCCGAACAACAGTACAACAGCCGCTCCCGGGACGCGGGTAGAAAAGGCACCCGCACGCGGACGTACACAATAAGAAGAAAACCGCGAGCACGTCGCAGCTGGCAATGGCGAGCTTTGACACGCCGGTCGGGAAAAGGTCCCTCGCGGCTATGCTGCGCACTCTCACGATGGCCAATGGGCCTGGTCGCGAGTGTTAGGGCAAACCCCGTACGCGTAGGCCTACGGCAAGTGCGGCCGGTATGGTACGACTACTTCAAGCACTAGGCACCGCTGTGGGCTTAGCGTACGGTACCGAAGCTAGCACTCAAGTAAACACGCCTGCCAAGGTGCCACAGGCCACCCCAGGCAGGCTACAGTCCGGCGATTCCCAAAGGGGACACGGACGAAAGAAAACACGTGCTTACCCGGCGCCGACCACAGAGGAGAAACGTCAGCTCCCTCAGCGCACATGTAACCCGTGCTGCCCGCACCTGGCGCCATCTATCGCCACGTGGTGTAAGCAGAGCAGAAAAGCAAAAGGGTGTGGCCGTGTGGCGGAATGCCCGCGAAATGGTCGCGGGCGCGCCTCAGATCTCCACAAGTTACAACACTGGCATGATCCAGAGCGCAACGAAAACCTTCAGTATTGGCATTAGCGCATGAACAGCAGTGCGAAGGCTAATATGGTGAGTGCAAAACAACATGCGATACGTCACGCTCGTATTTCGACACCTTGTTTCAAGACCCGCAGGTCGCGGGATCGAATCCCCGCTGCGGCGGCTGCATTTCCGATGGAGGCAAAAATGTTGTAGGCCCGTGTGCTCAGATTTGGGTGCACGTTAAAGAACCCCAGGTGGTCGAAATTTCCGGAGCCCTCCATTACGGCGTCTCCCATAATCATATGGTGGTTTTGGGACATTAAACCCTACATATCAATCAATCAATCAATCGACACCTTGTTTCAAATGGAGGTTCTTTGTTTTTGTTGGGCACGAAAATTTGTAGTAAGACAGTTATTCTAGTTCGAGATATCTGTAGAGGGAGCAGCTCATGAAGATGAAATAACTGAAGGAAATTGCATCTCGATGTTATGCATATGTGCGGCAGGCAGCGGGTTTTCGGGCCGGTCTCAGTTTGTTCGATTTCACTGATTTATCGTTCTTTATTTCTATTGCTCGCTGACAGAATACCTTGCAAATGTAGGCTGGCCATGTCTGAAGACATGTGCAGATCACAAGGAAGCAATGTGCAAGAGGCTGGTTGCCACCTACATAGGACTTATGCTACGCATTCATTTACGTGAGAACAAAGCTACACATGACGAAGGTCATGGAAGCAAAACGTGTGCTGGTGTTAATCTAGCCTAACAGAAAGACCTTTTCGTGCACTATGTAAACATACACATAAAACAAATTGCGACATTTTGGTGTGCTTTTGTGTATTGTGTATAATCTATTGTGTCTAATGCATATAAAGTATTGTTTATAATGTATTTTACAATAAAGTATTAAATGACCGTGCTTTTTTGCTCGCAAATTTTTGTTTTGATTACCTATCGCATGATTAGCACGCTTTGCCCCCTTGCGATGGTGTAGCCGTCGATGCTCAAAAGAATGACGGGAATTCGCTTTTAAATACAAAGCAGTTATCCGCTTCCTTCGCATACTTCCCATATTTTCCCCTATGTCCATACGTATGCAACACACAACAATCAGGACGGTGGTGTGGCAACAACGACGAGAAGTTCCCACCGTTTTCAACTATTGCAACAGAGAGAACAATAATCTCTATACATCTGCTAATAATCGCGATAGTAAATGCGTTACTGAATCTTTGCTGTTGCTTATCATCTACTCTCGTGAAGGAATGAATTATCAAAGATAAAGCACAGCGCAAGCGCTAAGTGCGAGCTGGATCCACCGCTATCGAGGCTCGCCCCGCAGCCAACACCCACTTCGCGACTGGTGGATGCAAGAAAATGGCGGATGCGCTAACAGACGACACGGTTGTCCTCGCCCTGAGAGGGTGCGTGCATTGCATCGAGGCACCCTAGTGCACGGGAATATGTGAAGAGAGAGACGAGGGTATGAGGAAGAAGTCGGACATGTTGGATATCTGGCGGGGAAAATAAAAGATGTACAGAGTGTGTTACGAATGTGTGCGATGGGAAGTATCTCGTCATGTATAAACTTTAACTGTCTCAAGCAAGCCACTGCAAATGAGTGTGGGTGTTTATGTAGACACACACACACACACTTGGACATGCTGCTGGCGGACATTTCAGACAGTAGGAGAACCACATGTTAACCCATTCTTCCAATACATTTTGCCACCAGGGTGATAACTCATTCAACCCCTTGAATTTTCTCCTACATTTTTGAAATGGTAATAGAAAAACTGGCTGTGGTATATTAATATAAAGCAGAAAGAAATACATCAGTTCTGGGTATGTCAAACTCGGATATATAGACTGATTCACTGTTTCGAACAGTACTAAATAATCCCCTTGAATTTCCCTTGAAAGAGTAATGTACGGTTGCACACATACATTTAGGTCCTGCTGAGCGTAATATCCGATATATCGAATGTTGTGCCAGGCAGAAAACCAGAAAATGCATTTTTTTCTGACAAGGATTAATCATTGTTCAATGCGTTCCAACCAACAAGTTTCAATCCATCTTCGTGCGCAAGAGACGTAAAGGCAGTGTAATTTGTTGGTTGCGCAGCACTTTTTGCGAGTGCATCAGCTCACGATGCTCTATCTGTCATAGATTGCAGCACGTCAAAACAGCGCTTTTCAAAGGGTTCAATTGTTGAGGACACCGAAATTAGATGAATGCAAAATTACTGAATGGCCTCGTCACAATATTCACATTCTCTTTCTTGCTTGTTTGTGGACAATGGAATGCAGGACCTAAACGCATGCCCTTCAAGGTCTGCAACCTTATGACGTACTTTTGGCATTTTTGGATATGAAATGCACATCTCGAGGCTGCTCTTTTTTTTGCTTTTCACTTGCCGCTACGTACAAAGCCCTTAATGCCATCAACATGTGTTTGTGGACAGCGTTGTCAGGTTGTCACTCGCGGCTTGTCAGCTTCAGTAGTTTTTGCTTCACTTCTGCTGAATATTGGTTTAGGAAGTTGAACCGAACATTGCAATACTTGTAGCCATAAAAATGATGACTGGAGCTTGGAACGACATCAAGCAAAGCACCGTCGTGCAGTTTCCTCGTAGGCTTCGGTGACAGGTGACAATTTCAGGTGCACCGTTCCAGGCACCAAACTGGACTCCAGGATTACAGAAAGCAACTTTATCAGTGGACATCATTATGTCACTGTTTCTGACTGCATCGATGCTTGTCAGTGCTGTGGAAGTGGCCCAATGAGACGACGATAGTTATAGCGCGAGAACAAAACGACGACACAGGGACACAGAAACACACAGAGACAAGAAGGACACGAAAGACTTGAGCGCTCGTGTCTTTCGTGTCCTTCTTGTCTCTGTGTGTCTCTGTGTCTCTGTGTCGTCGTTTTGTTCTCGTGCTATAACTATCGTCATGCCATACCAACTAGCCCAAGCTGCCACACTTCTAAGGCCCCGTGGGGTTATGAACATTCTGACGCCACCGCTAAACAACATTTTACCATAATGCAGAGCCTGCATCGGCGTTCATTGTTAATCGCTGCTATTGTAGCCGAAGGGGCTGGATTTACTTATGTTTAAAGCTTCAATGCTCTAATATTGATGATGACTTGATGTACTTGATGGCAGGCAAGAGAGAAGACAACTCAAGGATTTTTTTTTTCTGCATGAAGTATGGTAACTTGCAAAAGAAGTTGTCACCTTTTTCTTAAGCATACTGTGGACGAATCATCTTGTTAATATTTATTACGATTTTCTAAAGCGGTTTTGAGAGTTGCAGTGCATCAATATAAGCCTTAAAAATACATATTTTTTATTTTGAGTTATCGATATATCAAACTATTCGCGATCCCATTCAAGTTTAATATATCTGGTATCGACCGTATATGCAACAAACTTAAATCTAAATCAAGCCAGTAGTTTACTGAACTAACTCGTGATGGTGTTATTAAAAAGTAGGAAATCAGCTGCCTTACGAAGGCACCGCCTCGTACAAGTATTTGGGATGAAACAGCTGAAACAAGTGGCTCAGACTTCTCAAGTTGTGCGGTTTAATTTCCCAGCTGACTGTTTAAATGGTGAAGTTATTGCACAAACTTTCAAAATCAAGCCATGACTGGTAGCTAAAATTTCCTTTATGAAAAAGTTGAGAAACAGGATATGCTCTGGCATTTTGTTGGTAGGCTCTATCTAAAGGTGCCATGGTTACACAAAGTGTTAAGCCAGTGCACTTGATCTCATGCTCAATCACCGATAAGGTTTGTGAGTGAGCATGTACTATTAGCTTTCCATGGCAGCTTGTCACTGGCCACTGCTCTTATGCTGCTAGGCACAACAGTCTTTTAGAGAGTCGGCGACCATAGTTTCTCTGCGATTTAGATTCTACATGACGACTCCAACATTGTGCCAAGTTGCTGCATTTTGTTTTATTTGCATTGACTAGCTGTGTTAATGCTGCATTTACTCTTGTGCAGGTGAGGGATGCACTGCTGAAACTTCCTAGCCAGAGTGTCCGGATCAGCATTCAAGGATTGTCCTCTTCAACTTCCAAGGAGTGGATGCAGGTCAAGCTGCAGCCTCTTCGTATGTAGCAGGCGACTCATGTAAACCTCGTGTTACTAAGGCATATCATCCACTGCACTACCGTATTGAAATCGTATTGTCTACTATATGGAACTATTCACAAGTGCCAACACATAAGCTTGTGCAAATAGTCAATTTTAGGTTCCAAGTGAATAGTGATTTTGGTTGAATACTTTCGAATTGGATTCGAATAGTTTATATCACACACTTAAAGACAAATGGGCATATTTGCCATTATCTAATGAACCTGTGCCTTATTTTTTTTAATTGAAACAAGGCTTGTGCAAATGCCATTTTGTCAGGTCAAAAGAAGTGGAAACATTGTGAATAGTAGCAGGATCTGGCTTTCAGTAGAATGCAAGTGATAAATTGTATAATTTGTCGAGTTTTAAAATGTGCTATGCCCAGAGCATATAAGCTGGTATAACAAGCTTTTGAACTTAAAAAACGATGAATCGATGCAATTGTAATACACTCATTTAACTTTGAAGTTGAGCTTTATGGCATTATGGATTTCTCCTGGTTAGGTTTTTCACGGCTTAGCGTTTATTTAGTGCAGTGAGACCATCTTTACAAAGTGTTACATGCGAATTAGTATACATTATGTGTTTTCACAGCTTAGCACCCCTCCACTCTAGTGAAACAATCTTTACAGGATCTACATGCGGACTAATGCACATTTATTTAATCTTGTTTAATAGTTGAAAAAATCAATAGTTTAAATTCCAATCGAAGCAAATTTGAATAGTACCATAGTATTGTGTTGAATATTCGAAGCATTCGAATGTTCACCTAAGTCTGATTGGAATATCTACGGCTACATTGAGCCCCACCACTGTGGTTTAGTGGCTAAGTTACTCGGCTGCTGACCCGCAGGTCGCGGGATAAAATCTTGGGTGCGGCAGCTGCATTTTCGATGGAGGGGAAAATGCTGTAGGACCGTGGGCTCAGATTTGGGTGCACGTTAAAAAACCCCAGGTGGTCAAAATTTCCAGAGCCCTCTACTCTGGCGTCTCTCATAATCATATGGTGGTTTTGGGACATTAAACTCCACATATTGATCAATGGCCACTTTGAGCAGGAATAGTTGGAACATTTCGGACATCAAACATGTGGTAAAGTAATTCCCATCTTCAAGTCTGGTGAACGCTCATCGCCATTAAACTATCGTCCCATCTCATTAACCGGTACCATTTGTAAACTTCTTGAACATATAATCTACACCCAAGTAATTAACTACCTGGAAGATCATAACATTATACATAAATATCAGCATGGCTTTCGCCGAGGATACTCATGTGACACGCAGCTCGCCGGCTTCATTCATGACATACATTCAGCTCTCGACGGTGGATCCCAGGTTGATGCTATTTTTCCTCAACTTTTCTAAAGCTTTTGACCGTGTCCCTCATCACCGGCTTCTAACCAAACAGTCTAGGCTTTACATTCACCCTAACATTTTGGCATGGGTAAAAGATTTCCTTTCTTCTAGAACACAGTTCACGTCCGCTAACAATTGTAACTCTTCCTTCAGACCAGTAACTTCTGGAGTCCCACAGGGTAGCGTACTTGGTCCACTACTGTTTCTAATCTACATTAATGACTTGCCATCCTGTGTCTCATCCCGAATTAGAATTTTTGCTGACGACTGTGTGATTTACCGAATAATTTCCTCTGACAATGACCGGAAAGCTTTGCAAACTGATCTAAATGCTATTAATGCATGGTGCTCATCTTGGCTAATGACCCTAAACTGCTCTAAAACGAAGTCTACGTCTTTCAGTAAACACGTAACCCGGATTCCTACCTTCTACGTGTTAAATAATACTACTGTTGACCTCGTCTCTACTTATAAATATCTTGGAATTCATTTGCAACCTGATCTGACATGGCACTACCATATAAAACTCACCCTGGCGGCTGCTAACCGGTCTTTTGGATTTCTCAAGCATAACCTTAAACAGGCTCCTCCTAACATACGCAAACTTGCACTTACCACACTAATACGTCCAAAATTAGAATATGCATCAGCCATTTGGGATCCCGAACATGCTTACATCATAAACGACATTGAATCACTGTAACATCGTGCCGCTCGCTTCATATTTTCAGATTATTCACGTCATTCCAGCGTCACAGCACTAAAACGCCGAGCGGAGCTACCCGAACTATTCCATCGTCGCAAACCTGCACGCCTATCACTTTTCCATAAACTTTATCACCACGTGTCACTTCACAGCGATTTCTTCGAGCCACCTGCCGTTATTTTTCCTCGCCGCAATCACCCCTACAAAGTTAAACGCTTAAACTGTAAGTCATCTGCTTTTTCCAAGTCATTCATTCCGCGTACCACAATCGATTGAAATAATCTATCATCACACATTGCCTTAGAAGAAAACGCCACGAAATTTCAAGAGCTAATTCAAAATATTAACATCATCTAACTTTTGCTCTTTTACTTGTTTTTTCCCTCTTTTCTATAACGTGCAGAGCACACGTGTAGTATTTTTACCTTGATTCAGCTTATTTGAGCTGTGATGAGTGAGTGTATATTTTTTATTCGTTTTTGAGTGTACGCTTTATTTGTTTTCTTTTTCCTTTTTTTTTTTTTATCAAGTGTATTGATTATTTTTTCTTGCATTTTCATAGGTTGTTCACTGGGTACTTATCTGTATTCCAATGATTTGTTGCCTATTCTTTTCTCTATTTTTGCTGTCTTTAGCAATTACTTGTTATAACATATATCTCAACCTTAGTCTGTATTTAATTTGAATTTTTTTACCTTTTTTTCGTTTTTGACGTTTATTGTTTGTAATTTTGCTCATGTAACCCCCCCTATGTAATACCCTCTCACGAGGGCCTTTAGGGGTATTATGAATAAATAAATAAATAAATATCACGAAATGCCCCAAGAAATATCCCATGCCTACTTTGCCCCACACCTACTTTGCCCTAGCTGGGTGGATGCTAATGCGCGAGAAGGGGCTTGGTGGATGCTTATCTCGTGGCAGGGACAATCGTACGTCTTGGCTAGCCTTGGGCTTCATCGAAGCGATTCTGTTGTAGTTACCGGGCGCACAAATGTCACTGAAATTGTTGCACAGTCTCTGTTTGTGAAAAGGGTGCGCTTTTCAGACACAGCGAAGCAACAACTGAGAAGCTTATTCTGCCCCGCCGCGGTGGTCTAGTGGCTAAGGTACGCGGTTGCTGACCCGCAGGTCGCAGAATCGAATCCCGGCGACAGTGGCTGTACTTCTGACGGAGGCGGAAATCTCGTAGGCCTGTGTGCTCAGATTTAGGTGCACGTTAAAGAACCCCAGGAAGTTGAAATTATCAGAGCCCTCCTCTACGGCATCTCTCATAATCATATGGTAATTTAGGGATGTTAAACTCCACATATCAATGAATTAATCAAGGCGCTTAGTCGCATTCATCTGTACCTGTGAGTACATTTCGTGCGTCATTTGTTTGTGAGAAATGCTGGGCACGTTTCAGTCTGCTTGCCATTCTATGCGTAACCTTCCAATTGGTTGCTATTGTGTTCATTGCTTCACCTTTGTGACAAAGCTGGCTTTTTTTAGGTTAAAAGCTTTTAGTACTGGCTCATATTCTCTAAATATAGTAAGTTTTAAAATATAACATATTTTATAGGTTATCACTTGCATTTTATTTGATTACGTGAAGTCAAGTACTCTTTTTATTCAAAGTTCTTTTTATTTTCCTCGAACCAAAAAGAACGGAGCTTACATAGCATTTGTTTCAGTATTTTTAATATTGTGCAGGTAAGTTTGCACATTACAAATATGTCTGTTTTTATAGATATTATGTGATATACACTATTGGAATTTAATTTGAATAATTTTGAACTAAATCACCATTCGCTACCAACGTTAAGTTCAATATTTGCACAATAGCAAAGTTTGAAAAACAGCTTTTGCCGCAATAGGAGAATGTGACGGTGCGAATCATAATGAAAATCTGGAGGGGCCACTGTTAATAGTTCGAGTAGTAAAATTCCAGTGCGAATTGAATCAGTGGCGAACACTGTTGTAAAGATATTTAAATTCTGAACATTCGCATTTCTCTGCAAAAAATATTTTACCAGAACCTCCGATGATATACCGTATTTACTTGCATAATGAACCCATCCCCACATTGATCCTTGAAAAAAGGGGAAATAAAATAGTTTTTTAAATGTATCTGTTCATTTTATTTTGGTATGATAGCCAGTGCCATTAATGATCGAAACAATGTTAAATTAACCTATTGTATGACGAAATAGCAACGCAATGAAAGCCACAGATAGTTATGCAATCATGCTAAACAGTTGCGAGCAGCGCGAGCGCGGACGATGTTAATTAAAATTTGAAAGTTGCACCTTGTACGACAAAGCTCCATCTGTCGAATGCAGCAGAAACCTCTTTGTTGATAGAGCCACGGAAACACAGCGGCCGTTGGAACAGCGCAAAAACAAAGTGCGTGGCGTCCAAAATGGCGCTCGCGCTGCGTCTCGGACCTATGCAAAGCGCAACCGCACCCACCGTGCCGATAGCGCGTTGTGCATCCGCAAAGTCTAATACAATGTTTGTGCGCCGCCATCTGACGCTGTGTTTTCGTTGTTTGGTTTGTCGTGTGAACTTAGTTTGCACACTTGCTGCGCAGGGCGCGTTCGGCCGGTACGCTATCTACATGGCTGGTTATTAACAGCATGTGCTGGAGCATTGAAACTGAGCAACTTGACGACACTTTGGCGTCGATTCATGCACTTTTATTACAGGACGAAACAAAAAGAGCTTCGGGCTACAAAAAAATTTTGTTGTGCATTTGACGGGTCAAAACAAGTAAAGTCATCGGCCGAAATTTTCGCTGTTATAACTCCCGTGACTTTTTTCTCCCGCGTAACCCTCCTCCTAAATTGGCGTCAACTTTTTTGAAAAAAAAAAAAAAAAGGTGGGTTCATTACGCGCGTAAATACGGTAATGCGTATCCTTAAACAGAACAACTTTCACCCTACCCTAGTATATTGAGATGGACTTCGAGTAAAATGGGAGCCATTCAAAAAAAAGTTAGTGCTTGAGATCCCACTACTTGGACTGTAATTGCTTTACATAGGCCATAAGTTAGCAGTGTGGTATTGAATAACACTTATCTGTGTTGATACTAAATGCACTATAATTGTTATGTTTATGTGTGTTCCGAATACTGTGTTGTTGAGAATTACAAGTTCTCTTTGGAATAAAGTCTTTTGATGATGCGTGCAAATGTTGCAGAGGGTCCCGTGATGGACAGCCATTGGCTGCCGGTTAGTGCTGGCAGCGAGTACATGCTGCTGGTGCAGGTGAGCCACCGGGACCAGCGGCACTCGGACGGCCGAGCAGGCTCCAGTGTACAGGCCCTGGCTCCTCATTACCCGAAGCCTAAAGACGAGTCCTGGTTCCTGGTGCTGGGGGACCGCGAGCGCAAAGAGCTTGTTGCCCTCAAGCGCACCGGCAGCATGCGGGCCTCCTGCCGACATCACGTATGCTGCTTTTAACTGCTTCTATGTAGCTGCTGCTGCTGCTGACACTTGGTTGGCGTTTTGGTCAAAGCATTTTGCTTGCCTTGTTTACCCAAGACACTTTGCCGTCACCTTTGAAGGTGCTGGTTTCTTTGCTGCCTCTGAGCACTTTCAATACAAGAAGAAACAGGCTAAGGCGTTGGTGGTTTGGGGTTTTACCGTTAGAAAACTATTTAGAACAAATTGGTGGGACTCCTAAGCATTATGTGGTTCATATTGTTCTGTACACCTTACATGTGCTTCGCAGTTTTGTAAATTGTGAATGACAGATCGCACTGCTGCAGCTGCTGTCTGGCAGGGATGTTTTTGGAATAAAGTCCGAGTGAATGAATGAATCTGAACTAGAACAAAAAAAGTTTGTTTTACTGCAAGAGTGAAGCAATCACTGCAATAGCGAAAAATTGAAATGTCACACGAAGAACAAGATGCAGCACTGTTGAAGTTGAAGGTGTGGGGACCTGAGGCGCAAGCTAACAACCTGCCTCCAAGCAAGCTACCCAACCTGCCTCCTTCCTGTGTGTTTTGGTTTTCAAGGTCGCCCTCCCGCTGCATCCTCACCTCTCTTTATCACAACTCTTTGCCCTTCTCTCGCAAGTCTGCTCTCCTCTCTTGATCACAACCCCTTTCCTCCGCTTCGCGGCGCATGCTACGCTGGCTCGAATTAGTTTCGTTTTCTGACTGGAAATGGGCCCAGAGCTGTTCCACGCGTTTTGGCATGTGTGTCGCGTGTGCGCATCTTGCTCGCTCTTGGTGTTGCGTGTATGGTCATGATGGCCGACGGGAGGACTAGCACGCTTTTTCCTGCCGCTCAACGAAATGTCGAAAGTGTGACCGCTTGGCTTGAGCGTAATCCGTGCGTTAGGTGCCACGTTGCGGAGCGCTTGGTCATAGCTGTTGACCACCTGGCAGCCAACTTGCGGCTTCGGGAAGCCCTGTATTCAGCTGTGAAGATAGTGAATATTTTGTGGGCAGCGGTGACGGCTGCATGCGTGCGAAACTGTTTTCGCGAGGCCGACTTCGTTGACGTCGGGCCCGATGCTGAGCCTAAAGCTTCCAAACTGCGGCGGCAATTTGTGGCAGCGCGTCGTCAACTCTGACCTGAGAGAGCAGGTGGGACATCCGTTGTGATGGTTTAATTAACGCCGATGATGATGCTGACACTGCGAAACCGTGCACGGATTGGGGCATTGTGAATGAAGTACATGGCGAGAGTGATTTAGTGGAATCAGATTGCAAGAACGACGAAACTTTGGAGTCAGTGCCTCATGCAGCTTATTCTACGGGCCTCGGCGAACGAGCACCCTGTCGTTTTAAATGAACTTGAGACCGCCCTTATCGCGTCTGCTCTTCGAAACACGTGCATCACGGACTTTTTGTGGCAAAAAAGTTTGTGTTTTCACTCGCAACTTTTTTAAAAGCTGTGTTTCTTTTACTACGAACTTCGGGATACAGCGGACGGATGCCGCGTCACGCTCAGGTTGGTTATAAGCGGACTCCACTGTATACCTTCCTCTTGAGGGAGAGTGGCAATCTACCTGTCATGATTTGAGAGTGCTTGCCAAATGTGCTGCACCCCATTCTTATTCTTCTAGTTAATTTAATCTCGTGGTTAGGCTCCACAGTTATTACCTGTCCTAAGTACACATAGTCTTTAACAACTTCAAGTACACTATTATCTATCTCGAAGTGCTGCTCTCTTTCGAGGTTGTTGCACATTACTTTCGTTTTCTGCAGATTAATTTTAAGACCTACCTTTCTGCTCTCCTTGTCTAACTCCATAGTCATAAGTTGCGATTCGTCCCCTAAGTTACTCAGCAATGTAATATCATCGGCAAAGTGCAGGTTACGAAGGTACTCTCCATTAACTCTTATGCCTAACTGTTCCCGTTCTAGGCCTTTAAAAACCTTTCGCACCACAACAAATCATCGGGGGGAAGATTTCATGGTTTTGAAAAGTGTTTTGGTCTCATATACATTTCAGTGCAGTTCATGACTTTATCCAATGGAAGTGGCATGGTCCGTACGTACTATCTGTTTCTATGCTAATGAATTGGTTGACCCTGCTCTGGGTACCATCTTGATTCGTACAGCACACCGCCTATAGTTCGTGGACATTGCGAATAGAATGTAATTCTTTAAGCAAAAAGACAGCAGTGCTCTTCACGTTGTCTTTTTAAGAAATCGATAAGCGGAAGCAAATCTGGGTCACTGCGCTGCTCTTGTGAAATAGTGGCTGCATTGCCGACTCCCAAGAATGCGCTGTCAATACCCTCGTCATCAATAGTGGCAGGCTCGATGGCTTACTGCGTGAGACAGTCTCCTTCAGTATGCCTCTTCCCTGATTTATAAATTGCGGTCACATCGAATTCTTGAAGCCGAAGGCTACGGCACCAAATGGCCACATAGGTCTTTCAAAGTAGTGAGCTAGTAAATTGAATGGAGATTGCTGACTACCTTGAATGAGCAGCCGTACAAATGAGGTAGAAATTTATGAACCACAGCGAGCCTCACCGTGGTGGTCTAGTGCAGACAGTGTAACAGGATCCGCCACAGGCGCAATGTCTGCCCCTACCCGATGGATAGACTCTGCCCTGGGTGCGGCGCCTTCAATCCACACAGAAATCACACATGGAAACCCAAATGTCGGATGTGCGGCAAGGATCGTGCCACCGCAAACAGAAACTGCAAAGCCAAGTATAGGAAGCCCTTCATCGTCAAGCAAAGACAGTGGGCCAAGACACAAGAAAACCAGAGACAAGCAACTCCTTCAGCAAAAGAAATGTGCCGCTCGAGATCGAGATCAAGGGGACGTCGAGGTACGGGGTCCACTTCTAGAGGCTCCACCCCTGTCAGGTCGTGGTCCAGGTCTGGATCGTAGTCAAGGGATTCGGCATACACAGTGAGCTAGGCAGATAAAGTGTGCTGGTCGCGACCGGCTGAGACTGGGGAGTCGGTTAAACACACTAATGAGAAACTTGAGAAGCTCAAAGGAGAAAACACTCGAATGGGAGAGATGATCGCACAGTTAAATGCCAAAATTGAGCAACTTTCGTGAGAGGGTACAACCGGGGAAAAAAAAGTGAAATTCCGATAGGTGAGGATTGCATGGAGGTAACAGCCCCCCCGCTCAATCGAAAAGCCAAAAGTCAAAAGACCATGGAATCTCAAGTCCCCAGGCAAGATCTCACTGAACAGGAAAGATTAGGTACTATTGAGAGGAACGTAGACCAAATACTAGCCATGATCCAATCGTTAGTCGAGGCCACGAACAAAGCGTCCATCGATATTGCAGCACTCACCGCCAAAGTCGAAGCAATAGAACGATGTACCAATAGTGCAATGACAACACCTACTTTACATGCAGGAACCAATGTGCAACCACACCGATAGCTATTCTACGGCAAGCTACTTTTATCCTTCCGTTACACGTAACTTAAGGTACGGACAGACGAGGTAAGGGACAGTTTAAAATCTGGCAATGGAACTGTAGGGAATACGGAACCAAAAGATATGTTCTTCGACAATGTATTAAGCAGAGCAATAAACCAGGCGTTCTTTTGCTCCAGGAAACGCACAGGTTTGCCAAACTGGCGGTTTACCAATCCATAAGCACCGGACGGGGCGACAATGATAGAATTCTCACGGCATTAGTTAGCAGAGAACTGACGATCAAAACTTATGACCTCAATGTAGAACATGATCACGTAATGACAGAAGTCATTCCTTGAAATTGAAAGGCAACAAGCATTTTTATATTAAACGTATATAGCAACCCGTCAAATCGGTCACATAAGTTCAATAACCTCTTTAGGAAAGTGGTTGTGGTAGCGGGAGACGCTTCACTTTTAGTGGGCGGAGACTTCAAAAAGCTCCACACGAAGCTTGGGGCTATGGCTTCACTTCCCTTAAGGGCAAATATCTATGGTGAAGCATACAAAATGAGAACCTAACGTTAATCACTGAGCCCAGTGCGCACACGCGAATAGGTTCGAGTGCCCAAAGGGACACGACGCCAGGTCTCACTATGACTAAAAACACCTCAGGTGCGACGTGCATAACACTTTCGACGATCTGGGTAGTGACCACAGAATTATCGGGACGACCATACCACGCGAGATTGACGCAACTTGGTCATCAAATCAAACAAAACGACTTGTTGATTGGGACAAATTCAGAGAGACAAGACGACAGTCCTCTTTCCCACCCACATGGGGCATAAGGAGCTGGTGGGAAAACGTAATAAGGAGCGCCCGGCAGGCCATACAAGAAGTGCAGATGGACCTTCCTATTGACAGGCTAAACAGTAAGCTTGTACACCAATGGCAGGCGAAAAAATCACTTCAGGTGAGATGGAGGAAGCAGGGACACGAAAGAGGGTTACGAAAAAAGATCACGCAACTAAACAGGGACATTGAGGCTGATTGCAGGCAACTAAACAAGCAACAATGGAAAGAGATCTGTAGAGACATGGACGGGCAGCTTGGAGCTTCCCAAAAGTGGAAGTTGCTTCGGTTCCTTTTAGACCCGACAAATACCAAAACGGAACAGAGGCACACCATTTGCAAATTAACACACAATCACAAAGGAAACGAGGAGTAGTTAATCGAGGATCTAAAAGCTCTATACGTTGCACAGACCCCAACTGTGCGGCACCCAGATTACTCAGGAAACGTAAATCTAATGCTAGACCAGAAATTCACCACGGCAGAGATAAGAGTGGTATTTCACAAATCAGTGTTATATCGGCCCCAGGGCTGGACAGTGTAACAAACCGCATGCTCCAAAACCTGGAGGAAGACTCCATAGAATTCTCAACCGAGTATATAAATGAGTTCTGGATCAGGGGCGAGATACCAGAGTCATGGAAAGAAGCCTCAACAAAATTAATTCCTAAGCCAGGCAAACCAATCAACAAAATGAACCTCTGGCCTATCTCGTTCACGTCGTGTGGGGGAAAGCTA